GGTCACCACAACATGAGGAACTGTATTAAAGGGTCCCAGTATTAGGAAGGTTGAAGACCATTGGTGGTCTAGAGGGAGGCAAAGTATTAGGAGCCAGAACTTGCACAGAGTATGGAGCCCTACATGCAGCTTACAGGGACAGTCATGCTTTAACCCTCTACCCCATACACTCACACATCACACATCACACACCACACACATACACACACACACACACACACACACACACACACACACACACTCACCCTTATTTTATTAAAAAATATCTAGGCTAGGCTTAATTGTGCTGCCTGGAATCCCAAGTTGAGACAAGAATATGGTAAGTTCTAAGCCACCTTAGGCTCCAGAGTGACCTCAAAGCCAGGCTGGGCAACTTAATGAGACTGCATCCAAACAAAAGGTTAAAAGGGAGGAGGGCTGGAATGCAGCTCAACAGTTGGGCACTTGCACTCCTGAAACCCCAGGTTCACTTCCCAGTACTAGAGAATAATGGTAATTCTGAGGCGTGTGCAAATGGAGCACCATGGGACAGAGCACACTTGCAGGCAGGCAGCGTGAAGGGAACTTGGTACTATAGACAGGAAACAGGGCATAATGGAGTCCAAAGTTCATAACAAGACAGTCCCCAGGGAAGTCCCAGGGTGGATGGAGCTTGTTCTCCCGTGCCTTCTGCACTGCAGCGGTAAGATGGGGGAAGTTCCCTAGCCTGAGCTTTGTACCCTGTGGCAATGCGGCATGTGGAGCCAAAATGATGGGGACTTTCTGCTTCTTGGGGTGACAGAGCCCAGCTCCTCTGCCCTGTTGCCCTTTCTCTGAAGATGCTGTGAGCTCAGTGTACCCATCTTTTCCTGAGAACCACAAGCAAGACAGGGGGTAATAGTGTTGGTGTAGGGCCATCTGTAGCATTGTCCTGAACCTGGGACAGCAGAGGTCTGGCTGACAGGCTATCCTTTGCAGCATGGGCAAAGACTGACAAATACCAGGAGGAGAGACATGTATTCACAATGAGTTCCTATTTGTCAAGTGGAAAGCTAAGGGCCTGGACCAGAATCATCCCTGTGATGCTCAATCCAGCCAAGGATGGATTTCCCCCGTCGACCACGGCTGGTACTGCACTTATCCATCACCATACGAGTGACTTGGTGAGCACACAGGAGACTCCTCCGTCACGTGTAAACCAGCCATTTATTAATTTCTGCAACAAGTACCCAACTTCATTACTCACTTTGGAGATCGCATGCCGTGTTTACATAATCTTTCTCCAGCTACAGGCGTCGTGAAGCAATATCCCCGGGCAGTCGTCGCAGTGAGATACCGAGAGTAGTTAGGGATGGCAGTGTTACAAGCCGGTAAAGCAATGTAATTACACAGATCCGACCTGCAGCCGCCCTGCTTCTGCGAGTTACTCCTGGAATGCAATGTCAAAATTTGCATGCAGGATGCTGACCAATAATGTGCATTTTAACTTACCAAGGCAAATAAAACTGCATGCCATATGGCTGATTAGAAAGACTCTCTCCTTTTCTAAACAGCTGGGTGAGTAACAGCAAGGAGAAGGTGCTTGGCAGCTGCACACTCTTAGCTGCAATGATGTTGCTGCATGGGATCTGGGCCGCCACAGGTACGAGGCTCAGACCCAGGAGACGGCAGAGGCACTGGAGGGCCTGTCTAAAGCAAGCCTCCCAGTTGGGCCAGCACAATAGGCTCATTTCGCATCTTATAAATAAAGTAGTGAAATTATGGACTTGCTGCTGTTTGGTCTGACTGCTGCCTCCGAACACAACTGACCATTCTCAATCTAGGCTGAGCTGGCAGGGAGCCCAGGTAGACTTCTTGTTCTCAAGCAAGTGCCTCCACAGGGCTTCTACAGAAATCTGTGATGTGACCAACATCCTCTGCTCTCACCGGTGTTTCCCACAAGCCCCTGGATAGCCCTGGCTCTCCTCACTATCTGTTCATTTCTACTTTCTAGGAATCAATGATTAGCATGGGGCTCATCGCCTATGAGTGGGACGTGGGGTGCTCTAGAGGTGTCAGGAGACCTGACAATCATCCTATAAGACCTGGGTTAATAATCACAAGACCTGGATCAGTCAGGTGTCAGGACAGGGAGGCATCCCAGGAGGCCTACAGGCACCTCTTCTTTATGAGCAATGTGAGCATTTATGGCCTCACTAAATCCTCAGCTGACACTTAATGAATCTATCTTCTCTTGCACTGTTACCACAAGCCAAGCTCCGTGTGTCCCACCTCCCTGTTGATCTCAGTGTTCACCATCTGTCTCCGACAGGATAGAGGCGAGTCTGGTACCCAAGGCCACCAAAACACTGCTCCACTCTGTCTCCCAGTGCTCGCTGCCTGTTTGCATGACTATATTCTGCATCTCATTGCCTGGTCACCTTCTTTCTACTTCTGCTTCCTCCCTCAAGAAATCCCAAGCCCTCCCAGGCTGATTGGGACCCCAGGAAAGCAACGCAGACACAAGTAGGTTTTTGGCAGTTGGTATTCATAGCTTAGTTAGATGCTTCACCTAGGTTTTGGAAATGTGAGTAGTGCGCATGTATGCTGATTAGTTTTTATTGTCACCTCAAAACAACCTAGAGCTACATGGGCAGAGGAACTGCCCAGATCAGATTTCCCAGTGGTCATGACTGTAAGAAATTAAATTAATCGATAAATGAAGTGGGAGAGCTCAATCCACTATGGGCAGTGCCATCCTTAAGCAAATGGTCCTGTGCTGTGTAAGAAAGTTAGCTGAACATGAGCCTGTAAGTGAACCAGAGTAAGCAATGTCCTTCCATGGTTTTTATTTCAGTTCCTGCTTGAGTTCCTGTCCTTAATTCCCTCAATGATGGACTGTGACCTGAAAGTGTAAGCTGAAATAAACCCCTTTCTCTCCGAGTTGCTTTTGGTCAGAGTATTTTATCACAGCAACAGACTGAAATTAGACTAGGAAGGAATACATGATGTGCCTAGTGTGGCTGTGAGTCCACAGTGTGTACAAATTAGCAGCTATTGATGTTGACCAACTAGCGGCTTAGTCTGTGAGCTCCACTGACACTGGCGCTACCCTGCTGGGTCCTTCCTCTTCCTCATCCCAGCTGCAGAGTTTAGCTCTACCTACTGTCTCTTAGGAATCAAGGCTGTCCCCCAGCATCAGGCCAAATCATCAAGTCCTCCTCTGTTTGGTCTCAGTTCTGAGCCAGACTGGAATTCCATTTCTAAACAGCAAGGGTATTTTAGGGACATCATAATGAACTGCCACTAAGACATAGAACCCCTGGGTGTAGTCAAGCACACCTATAATCCCAAAATTGGAGAGGAAGAGACAGGAGCATCAAAAACTAAATGGCTAGGACTGAAGCTCCGTGGTAGAGCATTTGTCAGACATGTGCAGGGGCCTAGGTTCTGTTGCCCACATTGCAAACAAAAGCAGAGAAAATGGGACAATGGGGTTTGTTTTCTGAAATTATGATGTCTGGTGTGTCCACCCTGCTCTTAGTCTCTGCCTCAGGACACCAGTGGCATAAAGGCACACATCTATCACCCCATTACTCAGGAGGCAGAAGCAGGAGGACAGCAAGTCCCAGCCAGCCTAGGCTATAAAGGGAGACCCTGTTTAAAAAAAGAAAAGAAAAGCTATGTATGGTAGAGATGCAATTAGAAGGCCCATCATAGGGGTTATTTTTATGTGACAGAGTCAGTAAAGGGACCTCAGCAGAGTGATAGGGTAACAAATGGCTATTGGGCTTCATTGCCACAGACTTGATCCCACCAGCAGGAGCTGGGAAGTACCACAAGGTTCTAGGCAAGAAAGGACTTGGCTCCAATGACCACTCCAGGCCCTGGGCCAGAGTCACTCCTCACTAGCTTCCTGACAGCTCTTATGCTCCAGATTGGGACCATCCCTAGGAATTCTATTAAGTTCCATCTCAATTCCTGGGGAACCCCTGGCTTTCACAGTTCACGCTGAGTCCCTACAGAGCATCACTTTCTAGCAGTGAGTTAGACAAGAAAAACCTACTGATCAGCCATCACCTCCCTTCTCTGCCATGGTTACCTCGCACCATCCAGCCCCTTGGACATGGCAGTGTTCTCTCCTCTAAGTGTCAAATGACAGTGAATCCCGAAGTACCCAGCATTAGGCACCCAATTCCAGCAGAATCAGAGCTGACTTGCCATGAGACCTCTACAAAGCCTTTGTGTAATACATGTCTGCCCTGACCCTCTGCATTCTGTCTCATGACAGACATTTCTTTCTCAATCTAGAAAGCAGGCATTTCTAAAGCCCTGTGCTGTGAACACAGAGCCTCTTGATCTTGACCCTCAGGAGCCCAGTGCCCACCCGGGCCCTAGAATCTGTTTAAACAACTGGTTCTCAACTTTCCTAATGCTTCAACCCTTAAATACAGTTTCTCATGCTGTTGTGGTGACTCCCAACCATAAAATTATTTTCATTGCTACTTCACAACTGTGACTTTGCTACTGTTATGCATCATAATGTAAATATCTTATATTCAGGATATCTGCTATATGACCCCAAAGGAGTAGTAGAGAACTGCTGGGCTAGACCAAGACACTGATTGGCAGTTGTTTGTGCTGGGCACCATTCTGGAGGCCCATCCTTGTGACAAATTCCCAAGGCTTATGCTCCACTTCCTTGGGGCTGCACCTACACCAACCACTGTGGCCCCAGAACTGAGCCAATTGAAATGAAAGGCTCTGCAAAGTCACTTTCTAGGGCTGCAAAAAGCTCGCTGTAAGCTTTTGCCTTTTCTGAAGATCAGGGATGACACCTAACAGCTCTAGAGCACCACCCTAGTTTCCAACAGGGACTCATTTGTAAGGCTGGTACTCTGACCTTGACCTCTAAGAACAAGGCGGGAGGAGAGAAAACCTTCAGAGCATCACAGAGGCTCCTACAGTGATGGTCACCATGGCAGGATGAGGTCATTGCTATCTCAGAGAGGAGGTCCCACAGAATTTGAGGGTCTGCCTCTAGAGCCATAGCCCATGCCCTGTGCCCATCTGAGACCTCCAAAGACCCCCCATGCACCTGGACACATGCTCAGCTGAGGTCACAATAACCCCCATTGCTATCTGGCAGTGCCAGGCTCCACACTGAGACTTGGTATGCTGTTACCTAGAGGGAAGTGAGGGTATCAAATCCTGCTTTGTGCTGAATGAGTGTGTCTTCTCTCTGGAGTTAACCAGCATAGCCTAAATGCCACACTACTGAGGACAGCCCAACTCATACATGGCTGGCTGAAATCTCTGTCCAGAAACCTCAGAACCTCAAGACCCAACTTTTACCAAGAGACCTTGAGACTGCAGAGGACCTGACGATGGGATGCCAGAAAGTAAGGCTTTCTATATACACCAAGTAGAATCCCAGAGCCACATGTGCCTGAAGCTGAGCCAGCACTAGAGGGAGAAGCCCCCACTCACAATGCTCTGATGTTCTGGGAAGGGGTAGGGCCTGGTGCAGACTTAGTTACCACTCCTTAAAGAAAGGATTGAATTCATTCATTATGTACCTGGGATGCCAAGGTCACCTTCCTAATAAGAAACCATCAAGCAGCTTACACATACAGAGGCACACGTGTACAGATCCATACTGCCTGATATGCACATCTTTACCAAAGCACAAATGCACACCAACGCAGTCACCCAACACAGCACACAACATACACCTATGCCAACATACATAACCACATACCATAATGTATATCTCAACACATAAACCCTTTATGAAACCATGTATTAACAAACATATATAGTCTCCTAAACTCCTAAACTCCCTGAAGCATGCCAACACATTCACACTCCTAACACACACCATGACAGCCTCAGAGTCATAGTGATATTTACAGTACATATCAGTGTGTGGGCCTTATATATGTACCTTTGCTCCCAGACCACACCATGCACCCCAACACATACTTAAATACCCCACACATACAGGAACCCTGGTATAGTCTCAAAAGAGTTAAGCCAACTTACAGATATGTATGATAATATTACCCCAAGATATATACACACTCACCCCAGTATCTACACACATACACATACACAAAGAAGGAACCAGCCAATCATTTTCCCATATCCAGCATGGTAAATCCACTCGCACCCCAAAAGAGGAGTTCTGCTTTTGGCCCTAAAAACAACCTTGAGAAGGCCAATTCAAGGGACAGCCCTGAGCGTTCTAGCTTAGTGTGGCCAGTGTGAAGTCGCCTGGTTCAGCCCATAGTACCAGGAGGCGAGCTAGACAACAAAGGCTCCCATCCCTCCTCTGGAAGCATTCCCAGATGAGTCTGCCCTCTTAATTTACACCTCAGAGGATGGGGCTGACCCTGCTAGGAGGATTAGAGCCTCCTCTCTCTCTTCCCATCCACCTGCCAGTGGGGTACCCTTTTTCAGAATGGACTGGAGCAGCACAGAGCTGACTTCCAGACAAGGCTGATGCGAGCATTATCCTCTCTTTGAGTCACTCACTGTGTCCCACCACAAGGGGTATGCAAAGGACCCCAACAAGGGGCCCTATCATTGGAAAACACAGGGAAACTGGGCTTTTCTAAGCTCGCACAAGGTAGATAACCAGGGGTCCACTGGATTGATCGTGGTCCTTTAGCCTTGGAGAAGCTGCACCCCTTTCTCCCTCCCTATGTTGAGCCATGAGGGGCACACTGAGCTAGTGGCCTTGGGCAGGGGTTGGGAGTTTGGGGGGATGACTTCAAGTCTAAGTGAGGAGCCTAAGTGGCTCCCAGTCAGCCTGGACTGAGCAGAGCGAACACCAGCTGTCTTCTCTTACTTCACTTCCAGAAGACACAAGAGGACAACCCCACAGAGGCACTCAGAGGGAAGCAGTGATCCTCCACTCTCCCTGCATCCTGATCTACTAGGAGTCTCTCTTCTGCTGAACTGACTTCATTCCTAGCTGGACTGCATGGCAATGTGAGAGGCACTGCCACGCCACAGATTTGTGCTGACTCAGCCTCCCAGAGCCTCAGTTTACACACCCTCCCTACTCAGCTCCAGTCTGTGAACACTATTTGACTTCTGGGATTAAGAACCTAATGTGGGTAAAGAGCTTCCTCAAAAGCCAGGGCTCGCCTCCACCCAGTTCTAGGGACATTTGGACTCCTCGTGAGCCTGCAACATCATCACCTAAGACAGATGTGTGTTTGGGATCACTGTTTTTACATGGAGAGGAGGCTGCAAAGACAGGTAGGAGGAGGAAAGCCATTAGGCTTCTCCTTTTTATTGGAAAATCTCTACTTCTACCACCCCAAGAGGCCCCACAGATGGCTACTAACAACGATTCTGTGGCAATTCCCCAAGCCAGATCCTCTTCTCCACAAAAGCAGTGTCACCTTTTCTACCCTTCCCTCTGCCAATATGGCCATGACAGTGTTGGGTGCAGAGTGGTTTTTTGGGAGGAAAATTGGCTTCCCTTAGTTTGGCTCCCAGCACTTGTGTCAGGCAACTCACAACTGCCTGTAACTCCAGCCCCATGGGATCCAACATCCTCTTCTGGTCTCTGTGGGCACAGCACTAATATGCACATACTCTAACACAGACAAACACATATACACATTTTTTAAAACAACCTTTTTAAAAGATTTTTCAAAGCCCCTAGAATGAGTATTCTTCTGTTTGGTAGTATGTGAGTATGAAGTTTGAGCTCTGGCAGCCTGTTTGCTGCAGGAAGAGGGGAAGACAGCACCTGAGGCCCACCAAAGATGCTAACTCCACTTTGCCTTAACCAGACCCACTGCTTTCCCAACATCACAGGCTGATGTCATCAGATCCAGTGAATTTGAATCATGGAGGCCAGTCTTCTGGGGCTGTGTAAACCACCAATGACGTATAAGCTGGATGCATCTCCATTTCATTCCAATCACTGACTCCATTCAAGAGAATGTTTTCTTGTGCTCAGTCTATGTTGAGCCATGGACAGACAAGTATCATCATTTTGCCTGTATTGACAAAGAATACAGAGAGGCTGAGGAGCCCTTGCTGGGCCAAATAACTCCTCAGGGCCAGTGAGATGGTCTCCAATGCAAGAACATCCATCCTGCAGCCATGCTGGTGGAACATGGGGTTTATCCAGCTGCAGAGTTCTGCTTCCAGGTATGTTAGAGGGCTGGCAGGTAGAAAGATCCCAATGGGAAAAGAGTCAGAAGGGGTCTACTCAGCCCTCCTGCTCTCCAGGCACAGATGACCCATGGCATTTAGACACAAATATCAGTGAGAAGAACCTATATGTGGTAGCACACAGCTGTAATCCCAGCACTCAGGAGAGTCAAGATGGAGGCAAACTTGGGTTACATGGCAAGGATCTGTCTCAACTTCCCCACATACACCCCATAAATAAATAAACTTTAGATCTACAAACTCTCAGACTTTGGAACCCCTGGTCCTCTATTGAGCCCAACAGGAAATGACACTCTGGCCATGGCAACTTTAGGAAGTGAAGAGACTTCCCTTCACAGTGACCAAGTACCTGACTTAAATAACTGAAGGGAGGAAAAGTTTCTTTTGGCTCATGGGCTCAAAGAGTTCCATCCAGTGTGGAGGGACAGCATGGTGGGAAATTGTGGTTGACACCACAGAAGCCAGGAAGCAGAGAAAGGGAATGTACAGGAAGAGGCCCTAGTAAGAGGCAACCCCAAGGACACGCCTCCAGTGACCTCTTCCTGCATCCAGGCTCCACCTCCTACACCTCCTACCTTTGCCACTTCCTGTTGTAGAAGAGCATCCTCCTAGCAACAGCAGTCATCGTTATCAGACCAACTGTGACTATTTGCAAGAGTCCATTAAACACAGGGGACTGTGACATTCCCTTAAAGAAAAAAGGTGTGGGAGGCTCATTGGACCCTCACTTAAGTTTCCAGTCATCCCTCCCAGCCATTTGTATATGATTCTGTACTAAATGCATGTGACCCCAGGGTCTCAGGAGGTACTAGAGTATACAGATCAAATAAAGTTAATTGCCGAGGGCCTCTATCTACATGACTATGGGGAAGCCACCTGGTAGTTGGAATGTAGCCCCTGTAATCTCATAGAGAATGACACTATTAGGAGGTGTGGCTTTGTTTGAGTGGGTATGGCTTGCTGGAGGAAGTGTGAAACTGTGGGGATGGGCTTTGAAGTTTCCTATGCTCAGGATACCACCCAGTGTCTCAGTCAACTTCTTCTTGCCTACAAGCCAAGATGTAGCCACCACCATGTCTGCCTGCACACTGCCATGTTCCCATCATGATGACAATGGACTAAACCTCTGAACTGTAAGCCACCCCAATTAAATGTTTTCCTGATAAGAGTTGCCATGGTCATGGTGTCTCTTCACAGCAATAAAAACCCTAACTAAGACACCATTTTTAATGCCAAAGAGTTTCCAGTGGGGCTGCTTTGGGGTCAGCCATGCTTCTGCCAGCGACTCCCCACTGATGCTCTGTAACTGAAGTCCAGCAAACTCACGGTGCCCCAGGGTGAACTTTGGTAGAACTGTACTTCGGTTTGTCACATGGAGACACTATATACGTTTCCTCAGGGAAGGAATGCTTGAAACACCTCCCAGTAATCCCAGTGTAATATGAATCCGTCAAGGGTTGAAATCTGAACCCTCAGAATCCAATCACACCTCAAACCCATCAGCTGGCAACTAAGTCCCAATACATGATCTGGTGAGGCTCTTTCATATTCAAATAGTACCAGGGAGGGAAAGGGGCAGTGGAGGAAGATAGGAGACACGAAAAAATGAACACTGAAAGGGATCTCACTCTTCTCCACTCCCACCCCAATTCCAAAATGAAGTCAAATAAGCAGTGGCACAGAGACCAGGGATGAGCTGTTCCAGCAGCCAGGAAGGTGGCAGGAACCAGAAGACCAGGGCCAGGTTTCAGGGCGAGGTGTGTGCTTTCTGCTTTGAGCTATCTTTTCCTTTCCTTTGTTGTTGTTTTATTGTTTTTGAGACCATGTTCCATTATGTAAACTAGACTGGCTTTGCCAAGAGCTGGGATTAAAGGCATATGCCACCACATCCAGTTTCTTTTTATTTGTGTGTGTGTGTGTGTGTGTGTGTGTGTGTGTGTGTGTGTGTGTGTGTGTGTACAGAGGTCAGAAAACAACTTGCAAAAATCAGTTCTCTCCTTCCACCTATATAAAGATAACCCAGGTCATCAGACTTGGCTGCAAGCACCTTTACCCACTGAACCATCTGGCTGCCCTGAGATGGCTCTTAAATGTTAAAAAAAAAAAAAAGGTGTATTTGACTGTGGCTCCAGCATCAGGCCTGTAATGTCATATTTCATGAGAAGACAGGGAGCACCCAGGGACACTGAGTGCAGACAGTGTCTGTTTGCATAGGTCTCCTATGAGCAAGCCTTGTTCGGTTCCTGCCCCCACAGAAGGACAACAGCATCCTCAACCATGCCTTCTGCTGCCATGCCATTGGGGTGTTATGCAGAGCACACATCCTGGCCCTGAACTCACCAGAGCCCCTGTGAGCAGGTGTGCACAGTTTCTAGGTAAAAGAAGATACGTTTAGGTTACATGGACAAAGCTTGCGCTAGCATGCACACATCCACAGTCTGACAATTGCCCAGTTCATGAGTCAGTGACCAAAATGACAACATGGACAGAGACTGAGACAAGTTCTGGAGCCTCCTCTCTGTCCCAAGTGTGGACACACTAGCCTTTACTGTGCTGCTCTCACTCCAAAAACCATGACAGGCAGCCCTGCCAAGGTGCCCAGCTCCTCCTAGACCCATGCCTATCCGTTCTTGCACTCCCCTGCCTTCCAAGGGGCTTCCTCAGAAACTAGATTCATCTCCAATGCCTTCTTATGGATGTACCAAGACTGATTTACCCTGTGCTTCACTGCTAGGGAGAAAGGACCACAGGCAGGGGCTGGTGGGGGCAGGGACATGTCAGTGTGCTGTGATTTGAATGTGGAATGTCCCTCCAGCTCGGTTTCCAGCTAGTGCTGTTGTTCTTCGAGGTTGTGGAACTTTAGGAGTTGGAGCCTCATTGCTGAAGTAGGTCACTGGGGGAGAGCCTTGAAAGTTGTTGTCCAGCCCTGTTTCTTGACAGAGCCCTTCTGCTCCCTACATGGTTAGTAGTATGTGAGAAGCAGGTACAGCAAGCTTCTTTAGCCATGGTCCAAATCAGTTCAGCCACCTACACCTTCCCTACTACAATGGGCTATATTTCCTGAATCCAATATCAGAATATACCTCTCTAACCTTAAGTTGTTTCTATTGGATATGTCATGACAGTAAGGACACAAGTAATTAAGATTTCCTGTCTGCCTGCTCCTGGCATCACTAAGACTCCTCTCTGCTCGGTGGTTACATGCAGCCAGATGAAGAGACGCATGCCTATAATCCCAGCACTCAGGAGGCAAGGCAGAAGGATGGAGAGTTCATGACCAGTCTGGCCTATTAAAATAAACAGTTACTTGGTTACAGATCAGGCTCCTTATCCCTTATGTGACATAGGGGTACAAACAGGACTCCAAAAGCTCCTGGGGCACTAACATCTTCCAGGTGTCGGCCTCACTCCACATCATTTGACAGATCCTAGATCGTGTGTGAGCCTCTGTGGGCTGAGAAGTGCTCTCTCTTTCCTCCCCTTTGCATTAGAACCTACTTACTAGTTCCCCCTTCAATGAGTAAATAAATGAATGAATGAATGAACACAGGCACACACGCACTGTAAGTGAACAAAAGAGTCCAAGAGTACCCTGATGAAGGGGACAAGTTCACAGTCATAGGAGGGATTTACTTGCAGCAAAATCTCCCCAGAAACTGCTTCCAGCTGTGGCCTTAGAACACCGCTGGGTATCACACATCTGCAGCCTCAAGGTCACCTGCTGGGGACCACAGACTCACTTACACCTAAGGAAATAATTGCACACATGATTGGAAGCATCCAGACACAAACATGCAAAAACTGTCCATGGGGTGTTTCTTCTCAGAGTGAGAAAACTAAAAACAAGCTCTGTGCTCTGCAGACACCTTGGATCAGTCATTTTATAGACATACCTTTTCTTCTCCGTATCTCTATTTTTTCCCCAGACAGCATATTTATTCTGTGATGCTCTGGAGAAGAAAAGCAAAGTAATATGCTAGCCATGGTGGTGTGGTCATCCAGTTATAGCACTTGGGAGGCTGAAATAGGAGGTTCTCAAGTTTGAGGCCATCCTCAACTACACAGCCAGAGCTTGTCTTGAAACAGAAGAAATGAAACAAAAGGATAGCTATTACAATAGGTCAGAAGCCTGCATGCAACAGTCTATAAGACACATCCATACTCCTTCCTGTTGTATTAAAAAAGCTATATTGAAACATCATCGTGCCCTTTAATATAAGGCAAAACTGAGTATTTACTACAGACACCATGTGCCCTTCAGAACTTAATGTGAAACACACACTTATGAAAGATTTATATAGGAGTGTGTACGGTGTGACCCCTTCATGAACCACATGGTCAGGAGCATAAAAAAGAATGGAAAGGCATGAATTAAAGTGATTGCAGTGTTAAGTCCTGAGTGCTTGTAAGTACATCTATTCAAAACTGGGTTTTCATTTGGTTTCTTTTTTTTTTAGAATTAATTTTTATTTGTGTGGGGGTTGTGCATGTATATATGTGTAGACATGTGTGTGTATGTGTGTGTGTGTGTGTGTGTGTGTGTGTGTGTGTGTGTGTGTACACGCTTGTACGCGCATAAGAAAGCATGCAGTTGCCTGAAGAGGCCAAAAGAGGGCATCAGATCCCCTGGAACTGAAGTTACAGGTTATTACGAGCCATCTGACATGGGTACTGAGAACCAAACTCTATTCCCAGAAGGAGCACCAAGCATTCTTAAGTACTGAGCCATCTCTCTAGCCCCCAACTTCCTCATTCTTCAGATAAGTTGACTTAGATTATGAAAGTTTAACTAATTTTATTTAGGTCACACATTAAACTGGAGCCACCCTAGAGCTGATGGGCCTTTCCTGATACAAAGCATGATGCCTCAGGATTATGCTGTCTTTGTGATTTGGCCATCACAGTTCAACAGAGGCAGGTCCAGAATAGCAGTTAGCTATCAGGGAGACCAAGGTATTCTTTCACTAACTCACTCTATTGCTTGAGAAAATCATTTAACCCTTTACCTTCAGAATCTACAGCTGCAGAGTGAAGGATGATAATTACTGTGTGATCTAACTTGGATTTTTACAAGCTGTAATTCATAAACCAAATTCAGTATGCACCCATTTTTTTATAAATAAAGTTTTGTTAGCAAACTCAAAAGAAAATATAAAATTGGGTTTTTTGCTTGTTTCTGTTTTTGAGGTAGTGTCTGGCTATGTAGCCCAGGCTGGCCCTGGAATCACCAACAAGTGGGCCTCACACTTGAGAGCCTCTGACTTAGCCTCTTGAGGGCTGCTAGGTTCACAGGCATGAGCCACCATGCTTAGTTCAAGAAAAAAAAATTTTTTTTAATATCTGTATCTTCTAAATATCCAAGGTGAGTAAGGATTAGTTTATATTAAGAAAAAGAAAAGAGTGGCACACAGCAGCAGCCTCCCCGACTCAGGAGCAAGGTAATTTCAGAGGGCTCGGACCCAGCTGAGCATGACACAAACCAGGCCAAGGCTCCTCTCTCATCTGGGATTATGACACCACAGTCAAATTGGAAGATCATTTTCACTATGTGGGGAAAGATTAAATAAAATAAAATAAAACACCTACTTTATCAAAATCTGAAATATTTTTACCGATAAAGAGAACACTAGATCTGACTTGTTTTTGGAGGAGAGTGACCACTGTGCCCTTTAGAGACTGAGCTCAACACAGGCAGGGTGGAAGGCTTCAAAATGCCTCTCAGGATGACTGAAGACAGCAGTGGGATCCACACAGCACACACAAAGGCCAGAGAGCTTAGAGTGCCTACAAGCTGCTTTAATAAAGATAACGTCATGGTGGGGACCTGTTTCCTTGTGAATCTGATAGATTTGCACCTGAGTCCAG